CTGATGCCTCTGTATGACCTACAGAAACTATATATTTCTATATAGTCATTCTTTAATGTCCACTAGGTCAGCCTCCGCTTTAAATCAATGAAACAAGCATATATGGAAACCACCAGAATCAACACAAGATTAAAGTTCTTGCTGCTTTAATCAAATTAAATAAATTGTTTTGTTTTATCTTTTTTCTGTGATCGGCGCGTCTTTAAATCTTACTGAGAGCATAAAACACGAGACTCACGTAGCCACGTTATATGTAATATATCTGATATGGGAGTTTAGTGTGACAAAGGGACAAATATTTAAATCTTTGTACTGAAAAGCCAAATATGATTCGATGGACAAAATTCTGAGTCTGGTACAATCCTAGTTCACAGCAAGCGTAAATGTGCATAAAAAACTTTATGTATTTATGTTGGTGGTTTAATCATGGTGTTCTGCAATACATCACATATGTGTTCAGTGTTTAGTTATTCTTATAACTAATTTAATCCGAACACACTCTGTGTGTGTGTTTGTGTGTATATGTATAGACATGTACAGTATGTGTGTGAATACATACTTATTATTATTACTGCAGAGAAGAAGAACTCTCCAACCATGCATACACACAAAAGGAGCCATTCAATTCAATTACGTCTTTAACAAAACTCCTTACTGAAACAGTATAAAGTCCTGGTTTCACTTTGGAGCTCTGAGTCATCGTACAGTTACACAACTCCACTTCCGCGTCTCTACACCTACACACCTTTCTGTTTGTCTGTCTGTCTGTCTGTCTGTCTGTCTGTGAGCGGACAGCTGAACACCAAAGAAACACCAGCGCTGGATCAGAATTTCATTTTTCAGACCGCCTCTAAAAGCTGCTCCAGACTGCTCACTGTTGGTCGAGTGTACATGGATTTATCTGCCACTTGTGTCATCACTAACCTGTCGCCAACCCTCCAAACTACATTTTCAAAACAACAACTGGTAGACAGTCTAAGTTATAAAATAATTTGTATCTAGTATCAAGATCAGAGACAGATGAAATTAAGAATGTTATAAAGGTTTCTGTCTCTTCGGTGAAATGCAACTAAGTGTATTTACTCAACAACAGTACTTAAGTACAAATTGAGGTACTTCACTTCAGTATTTCCATGTCAGGTTACTTTAAACTTCCTAATACAATTCAGAAGGAACTATTGTACTTTTTACTATTTGAAAGCAATAGTTAGAAGTTATTTTACAGATTTAACTTTCAAAATATATGATGAGCTTATAAAATGATTTATTTGGGCAGATTAAACTGCATAGAAAAGTCACAATTAACACCACTTCCACCAACTAAAACAGTAAAATGCTGCTTATTAATGCAACAGAAATAATAGCCCAATCATATAATAATATTACACAGGTGGCACCTTTTGATACTTCATGTACAATTTGACTTTTACTTCCAGAGGAGCATTTTTATATTGCAGCATTGCTAGAAGTTCTTCCTCCGACTCACCTCTGGTCTGGTTTCCCAGTCTAGCACTAAAAAAATAGATCTACTGTATGTACACAGTGTTATAAAAAAATGCAGAAGATGTCATGTTGTTTAAAACAAAAAACTCAAATTAACATTAAAATATGGACACCATCTTTATTCTATGTTTCCAGTAAAGATAAATAATAGAACTTGAATTAATTCATTTTTAATTACTCCCATAAAACAAACTGTTTTGTCAAATGCTGTTTCCAATGTGAAGAATTAACTCAAAATATTATTTCTATGTGTACATCAGTAATGTCTGTTGCCTTTTATTATTATTATTATTATTATTATTATTCCCTTTATTTAACCAGGTAAATGTCTTGTTAATAATTAAAAACTCTTAGACCTGTCATAAGATGAATAAAGGCACATACCAAAACAATAGATTTATAAGTAAACACATTGACTAAGTGTGCTAGTTTTCATATGTCGTTGTAACCTGTTGTTTTTTGGATGGTAGAAATATTCTGGGTTTCACTTAAAGTTTCTGTCCTTCTATAGAACTTTAAAGAGATTAAAGAACATCTTCAATACTGCACACACACACACACACACACACACAGCTGCTGTACCTGCAGCAGCTCTTTAGCCGACCCTCTCTTCTCCACATCCATCTCCAGACATCGGTTCAGGAAGTCTCTGAACGTCGTCGACAGTTTCTCCGGGTTCTGCAGCTCTGGCGTCCCGTTGGTTGCTATGAGATACAGCGCCTAGGCAACACAAGTGAGCAACATGTTAGTCTGCATCCCATGAAGCACATGTAAGTATGCACACACTAAACACTGTGAGGAATTTCAAAATCTTTTACTCTGCTGCCATCCAGTAGTGGTTTTAATAATGACAATGAGGCTGTTGTATGCAGTGCTTATAATTTAATGTTGATATTTACAGAGAAACACTGCTATTATATGACTATATGATTTTATAATGCTATGGTTTTATCATTTATACTTATTTTTTGTGATCATTACTATTTATTTGCAATCAATTGATTTTGTGTACTTTTTCATAATTGTATCTTAATTTTTATTGCTTGCTTATCTTTTATTCTCTTTTACTCTCTAACTAACTATAATTTACTACCCATTTTTTATATTATATCTTCAATATAATCATCATTTTTTTTGGTGTGCATTAGACAACTTTTTAACATCTGATGTTCTGTGAATCCTTTGTAAAGCACTTTGGATTACATTTGATTTGTTTGACAAGTGCTGTATAAATAAAGTTGTTCAAATAATTTATTGATTGATTTATTGATAATATGTACCAGTGCTGACCCATGTATAACACAACCCTGATTATAAGTTGAGTCCCCTGTTTGTGGTAAAAAGATTTTTTTAAAGATAAAACTTTCAGACTAGTCCTGTTTGAAAGTCCAGGGTACAGAGAGTCCTGATCCATGAAAGTTCTTCTCTTGTAAAAGTGAGTTTTATGTGCGCCCTCCGTTGCCGTATCCTTGCCCCTTTGTTTTGCTGAGCTGACTGAGACTTGATGTCTATAAAGAAATTACAGAATGGAAAACCAAAGCCTTCTGTTATGTTCTAGTTATTTTACTTTTGATTTGGGTTGGAGGTTTCCTGTAGTAACCTTATGGTGGTAACTCCCTGCTAATTGGGGCTAATAATGTTTTTACAATATTCAGAAAACAATAATAATGTCTTGCTGTGCGCATCAGCTTTTGCAGCTGCTCATATTTCGTTTCAGCCTACAGTAAACACACTCAGCACTCTCACCCTGAGTGGGTTTTCATTCAGGTACGGCGGCTCCCCCTCCACCATCTCTATGGCCATGATGCCCAGGGACCAGATGTCCACTTTGGGGCCATAGGCTTTACGGGTCACAACCTCTGGAGCCATCCAGTACGGCGTCCCGACCATGGTGCTGCGTTTACTCTGCTCCGGAGTGATCTGGGCGCAGAACCCAAAGTCAGCTGGTAGGAGGAGAAGAGAGGACAAAATGAGTCCATGTATTCACTAATTCTCTCTTCAGATGAACACCTTTATCAAGCAACTTGTTTAATGTTCACTCTGTCATCACAGTGGTTCCATAGACTGAACTTCAATGCTTTCACAATAGAATCAGAGCTCCCCCTGCTGGTTAAAATAAGTACTATCAAAATACAACCGACTACACAGGGAGCAGCCCTACAGCAATGTAAATAAAGTAGTAATAAATACATTAAATGAATGATTAAATTAATGAATGAGTGAAAGGACACAATGTCAACAACTGACTGAGTTTGACGGAGCCGTCCATGCCCAGCAGGATGTTGTCGCTCTTGATGTCTCGATGGATGACCTGGTTCGAATGGAGGAACTCCAACGCCTGCAGACACTGGAGACAGACAGACAGACAGACAGACAGACAGAGACAACACAGGTGGAAAAACAGAAAAACATTAAGATACTTGTCTTAACACTTGTCCAAAGATCAGCTCATCATATTCAGCAGAACAATACAGATCCTTATGAGACCTGCTGTCTCCCCATCATTAATCGTTCTGTTAAAACTGTTATCAACTTCTAGTTCTGATGAGAACGAGCTATTGTATCCCTTCTATTAACATACTTTAAATATGACAGCTTGAGAATCTGGGACAAGTATCAGTGTTAGAAAGTCAATAAGCAGTTAACAAGGATTGCTCTTGTGGTGTTTCCAGTTACGGAGCATGTGACTCTATGATGAGAAGCTAGAGCTGCCGCATTATTCAAGTGGAGTCCAGACAGATCAACCACATGAGCAACACACAGCTGTTTTAGAACTCCACACTCTCCACCTACATACCACCAGCTTCTTTACTAATCACAATAATCTTTATTGTCTACAAATGTGGACATCTGCCTTTGGTTTCCCAGGTTGGTTAAAACACACCGTATATCACAATAATAACAATAACACATGAACAGAACAGACAACAATAACGGACATTGCTCCAGTGTCTGTTTACAAATTGAGCAAAGTTATTGCATTAGGTACGAAACACAGTTAGTGAATGTTCCTCCAGAGGAGAGTTTTATGAATTCATTAAAAGAGAGGTGGTGTTCCATGTCTCTTTACCTCTCTGCACACAGCAGCTATCTGAGCTTCATCCATGCATGTTTCCGTGACGACGTCCGTCAACGAACCTCCAGCCAGGTATTCCATCACCACCCACAGCTCGTCACCCACCAGGTAACTATGGAAAACATCAATAAATTCGGGAATTTATATTTATATGACATTTTGGGGCCGATCAAAGCTCTGAGTGAAGGTACCTTTGGTAAAATGTACCAAACTTTTCTGGCTGTTTTTATTCTGCAGTTTTAGTGTTTTCATGTACCAACTGACATTTAATTCCCATTTAACTCTAAACTAATGAACAACACATGAAACAAATAAATAAAGATAAACAGAAAAAGTAATTGTGTGTGAATGGGAGATTTACACACACACACACACACACACACACACACACACACACACAGTAAATCAGTGACAGTGAAAAGGTTGTTTCCGTGGCGATGACAGCATTACAGTCTTCTATGTGCTCCTTGATGTCTCTGAAGACAAACCGGTAACTATGGCAACCAGACGCGCCCCCCCTCGCCCCATATCCAGTGGGTTGGCATGGCAACAGCAACACTGAACTGGACAGCCTCTGGTCATGGTTCAGTCCACACAGTTCACAGCTCAGAGGTGTCTCCACAGTTTGGGAAGTTCATTTTACAGCAGATTGTGTTTGTGTTTGGTTTTTAACGGGTTTCCTTTTGTCAGAACAGAAACATTAACAGAGGGATCTCAGCCAAAACTAAATATAATCCTCCAAATGTTAAAGCTGCAGCCTCACACTGACAGCCACGCCAAGAAAGAAGCTGTACGTTACAGTACATTTGGGAAACAGGGTTCCACTTTCTCACCAGCACATCACATTTACTCTCACGGCCATGGTAATTTACTTTCTACGGTGGCCCACAAAAAGTGAAAGAGTACAAAGGAGACACTGTGAAGTGATTTGTGCGTCTAACCTGTCCAGGTAGTTGACTATGTTTGGGTTCTTATTTTCCCTCATCACCAGAATCTCATTGATGATCAGCTCCTTCTTCGGCTGCTGCTGCAGGTTCATCTGTTTAATGGCAACCTGAGGGGAGAGAGCAATATATTTAAACTTTTCACTGCAGTTAAGACACTGAATTTAACATAAAACTGAGAGCAGAGGTTGTGGGGAGGAGTGCAATAAAAAGAAAGACAGATAGACAATGTGACAGGCAATAAAAGAAGACGAAGAGGATGAAAAGGAAAACGGTAAGAAAGTGAAGACAGTTAACAGAGAGACTGACAGAAAAGGCAGTGGGGAGGGAAAATATAAACTAAAAGGCAGTAAAAGGTTGTTAGGCAGTGCAGACTGACAGACATTAAAAACCGACTAATCCTCAGAGAGTGAAACTGAGGAGGATTAGCATGACAGACCAGCTGAGCTCCTTTAAAATGAACCTGGAAGTCACAGCTATTGAAGCCAGACTTAAATCCAGTTACTGCCACAGTGTTTTCAGTGTAGAAACTCCAGCTGAACTCACTGTTCTCTTCCCTCAATCCTCTGTGCTCCTCTTCCTTGCTTCATTTTATTTGATTAAAGGCTGACAGCCTAGATGAACCTAAGCTTCCTTTAACTTCCTGTTTGAACTTTATTTCTCCTTAAATTTGTTCTTTAAACTCTTTTGTCTGAGGTAATTGATTTTAACGTCAGCGTCATGGCTTAAATTAATGTTACTTTAAACTTACTGTAAATTCTGGTATTTCGGCTAACATTTAAACAGTCTGTATTTGGTCATTTTAATCATCTAAGTGAACTTCATTTCCCCTTTTCTTCCTTAGAGTTGTTCCGATACTGACATCGGTATCGAAAAAGCCTCCAATACCAATCTAACCAAGCCAAACCAATGAAGGTATTTCTTTTAACCTTATATCGGATTGGTACTTGGTATCGGCCGACTCTTTTTCTAATTTTGGTTTTCTCATTTCAAAATGAAAATTTGTTGGCTGCAAAGTACACTGACCATCTTTATTCTTCCTCTTTACTTCCAGATGCTTAATTCGATTCCTCCTCAACATTTCAGAGTCTCTCTGTGTAGGAGCGTGCATGTGGTTACTGTATCCAGTCAATCGCCAAATCATTAAATTTTAGTAAAAACAGATTAATGCTGAATAGTTGAAGGTGCAATCTTTAAATTTGAGACTTTACAAACGCCATGTAAATGTATGTATGTATGTAAGTAATAGTGGTCAATTGATGTGGGTTTTTTTAATGGTTGTTGGTGATATTTAGAGAGCACAGCGATCGGTGGCCGATATATAATGCCGATGTCAGAAAAGACATTAAATTAAATATACACTAAATATAATTCCCTGATTTAATGGACATTACAATCTAACATACATGGTTATTGAATTGATAAAATGTAACCAAGGGGTGCGGGTATCTGTAAACTGAAGGAGGAATGAGAAACCAGAGGAATGTAGGAAGGAGAATAAAAAATATGGAGGATGATAAAGGAACCCAACCTCCTGTCCTGTGGCGATGTCTATAGCTGTGTACACAGTCCCAGACGCTCTGAAAACAGACAGCAGAGACCAGTTAAACATTATGTCACCACTGCTTTGTTGGTGGAAAACGTCTTTTGTTAATGGTCACTTGAGGTAACAAGTGTGACACAATATGACTTACCCCTGCCCGATCTTCTCAAAGCGTGTATATTTCTTCTTGGGGTCTCCCACACTTACAATCGTTCCTGAGTTAAAGAAAGAGAAAAAAAGAAGCAAAAACACAACTTGATTGATTAAAAAGCAAAGAGCAACGAATGTGGATAAAGAAACTCCGGTCCTATGACCCACAGCTGATATTTATACGTTGATTTTACAGAACCACTGAATTTGAATGGATAGAACAGTCAGGTGTCTTTCTATCCATCTAAATTCTGCTCTATGTTCATCACACTCAGGTCAATGCAGCATGCTGACTGGGAGAGAGAGCAGAGAGAAAAGAAGATGGAGGGAAGGAACGAGGGATGAGACTAAAAAAAACTAAACAGGTGAGAAAAAAATAAATGAAGAAATTCAATTCAGGAAGGAAAAAGTGATGAAGAGGAAGAATAAAACTGGCAGACAGCTGGAAGCAGAAGACTGAACAGAAGAAAAGACAGAAATGATGGAGGGAAGGAACCAGTAAAGAAAAAAGGAAAGAAAGAATGAGGCAAGGAAGGGCAGAATCAAGAAAGATAGAAAGGCCAAAAAGAAAAAAACAGACAACAAGGAAGGAGAAAGAAAGAAAGAAAGAAGGGCTTCGTTATCTAACACGAGAGAGGAGGGAAGAGAGAGAGAGAAAAAAGCCTCGCTTGTTGGGGGAGGAGAGGAGACGGGAGTGAGGGATGAAATTGAAAGAATAAACGAAGGGGGAGACATATTTTCTCTCGGTTCGCGGCAGATGTACTTGCGGCTCAGGTGCAACCGGGGCGCACTCGTGCGGTTCTAACCGTCGTCTGGCGGCAAAACATACAACACGTACCCGGGGTCTCGCGCTCTCGCTCGCGCTCTCTCTCTCTCTCTCGAGCTCGAGCTGATTCCAACGGCTGAACCCAGAAGCCATTTCGATGCAGTCACATGAAGCCGTTGCTGCCCGCTTGTTTGTAGCTCAGGCGGGCGGGTTTGTTTCACTCTTCCGCTCGGAGACACACGTTATTAACGACGGCGCTGTCGAGTCGGAGGAGTTTGTTTTATTTTTAAGTCCGTCTGGAGTTTTTAAATTAAGCGCTTTGAGTCGCCCTTTAGGTCTGATCGAGAGCGAGGCACCGGGTGGGGGGTTGGGAGAGAGAGAGGGGGAAGTAGGCTATACATGGCTGAAACACGGAGTGACTCAGTCTTTTAAACGTTTAACACTAAATTACGGGGTTCATTCGCCTTTTAATGGCGCCGATAAACACATTCACGTCGAGGTTGTGCCGTTTTTAGGTGTGTTAACCCCGCCCCGGTGGGAGAATGTATCCCATAGTCTGTTTATCAGGTGGTTTAATCAAACGTCCCCAGGTTAAAGTCAGTAGAAGTTGGCGGTCTGATTATAAGTTTAGTACAAATGTTATATTTTAGTTTTAAAGAACTTAAAAACACAGTTAAACTCATTTTTAAACGTTTATTAAATTTAATGTATTTTATTTTATCAATTCTCAAAAACACACGTCAGTTTATGTGGTTAAATCCCTCCAGTAAGCAAACAACAAATGCTACTAACTACTAAGTTACTTTATAAAAACTAACTTAAGTACAGTTTTAAGATAATTATAGTTAAGTATTTCCTTTTTTTACTACTTTAACTACATTTTAGAGGTAAACATTGTTTATCAGGTGGTTTATCCCCAGGTTAAAGTCACTGGAAGTTGGTGGTCTGATTATAACTTGTGTGGAATTGTTATATTTTACTTTAAAGAACTTAGAAACACAATTAAACTCAACTTTATACATTTGGGTACAAATAGACTAACATATTTTATATATTTTTGTAACAAGAGTTTGTTTTCTGCCATAAAGTAAGCAAACTCTGAATGCTACTAACTAAAAAGCCACTAAACACTTATTTAAGTACAATTTTAAGATAATTATAGTTGAGTATTTACATTTTGTACTATGTTTCAGGTTAATATTGTCCACAAATAAATACATATGAGTTATGCCATCTAAATATTTACACAATGTAATGTGATAATAGTACATTATGAGTACTTTTTATGATTATTTAAGTACTTTTTATGATAATTCTTGATGTAATTTTACTTAAGTGACACTTTTAAGCTTGTAGCAGATTGTTTGTATCGCTGTATTCCTATTTTTATGTAAATAAACTGAATATTTCACCAATATTTAGAGATGAAACAATTGGCTAATTGATTAGTCGATCCCCGGAAACAATTTTGATAATTGATTATTGTTTTAACTCATTTTTTAAAGCCAAATTCACAGATTATGTTGATTTTATGTCATATCTTATCACTTTGACAGTATCATATTGTCGACTCTAGTGTGTTTATGTCTCTAGATCATAATATTGGATCTGAATTTGCTGGTTTTCTTGGTCTTTTTATGGGTTTTGGACTGTTGATCAGACCAAAAAGTCAGTTGAAAATGTGTATTTGGGCTTTAGTGAATTGTGAAGGACATTATTTTACGAGTTTCTGACATTTTATAGACCAAATAATTTAAGGCTGCAACTTTAAAAGTGTTTTCATTATCAGTTAATGCTTTTAAAAACACATTTCGGTCTATAAAATGTCATAAAATCTCTTTAAATGGCTTTTATCTGCTGTGGTGTGATTGTATTCAGCGATGTAATGAGTCTTTGGGATTCAGCAGTGATTTTAGAGTCTATTTATTCTAACAGGATATGTTTCACGCGGTGTTAATCACAATCTTTCCCATTTACAGACAGATTTAAGCCGTTTTTTTAAGCATAAATGACAAATATTCACCGGCTCCAGCCTCTGAAATATAATAATTATCTGTCCTTCTCTGCTTTATGTAACTGCAAATATAATATCTTCGGGTTTTTGGGGCTGTTGGTCGGACAAAATAAGTAATTTGACAACGTAATAATAATAAAAATGAGCTCTGGGTGATCGGGAGATTGATCAGTAACACAAATAATAATTAGTAGCAGAATAAAGAATAACCTTATTGTGTTTGTAGCACTTTTAAAGTCGTTTCAGGTGTTTTTTGGGGTGTTTATGCAGTATAATTGTAGCTCTGTGACATGGCGTTCAGTGTTCGCTTTACGTTACGTCACAGCCTTTGACTCAGCCTTTTTTCGCCTTTTCTCTCCCACACAGGGAGAAGAAATGGGTGACCGTCGGAGACACGTCCCTTCGCATCTACAAGTGGGTGCCGGTGACGGAGCCCAAATCGGATGACGTGAGTTCAAACCCTGAAGCGCGCGGTGCACGAGCGCTTCACACGAAACAGTGAACACAAAAGAAAATGTTTCAAGGGCAAAATAGTGTTTTTAATTCATCAAACCACAGTTTTATTGTTGTTTTTTTTGCATTATTATTACACGTTGATTGCTTTTAAATGGAGCTATTGTGTGTCTCTCTCTCTCTCTCTCTCTCTCTCTCTCTCTCTCTCTCTCTTATTGTAGAAGAA